TGTGACTGCACATAAAGGAAATAAATCTGGGTATGCTTCTTCAATTAAACCAGCATTATTTTCCACTGTAGGAGTCGAAGATACCACAGGATCTGGCATCAGGCTGGATCCTGTAATATCATGAGCCAGCAAAATAGTAACACCTGTCACAGGAAGAGAATCTTGAACACCAATAGTCACCTAACCAGTCACAAGCTGAATTCTCAAATACACCCTACACAAAGGAAGTGATCACTCCACCGACACCTTTAAGCACCAAATGTAAGGGCTGTAACGAGCCGCATGGTTATCCGCTGCTCGTTTGCGGCCCCCACTGGGGGTAGACGGAGGTGAGAAGGTCACACATCAGAAACTACCCAGCCAGCACCACAGCTGCACATCCCCCGCTGTTCGATTACAATTCTGGTTGTGTGCTCCTCTGAGCCTCTTGAGGCTCGTGGGCTGATTCCCCAGTCCTTCACTATTCGGCTGTCAATCTCCGGACACCTACTCCAGCTACTACCGCACCTGCCATGTCATCGCCACTTCCTCCACGCCCTATCCACCGAACGTGCCCTGGCGTCTCTCCTGTGTAGCAAGACATCGCCCACCAACGCCAAGTGAGGAAGCTGCCCTGGACCTTCCCCTTGAGAGCGGACCACCGTGTTAACGGAACATTCCACCGGTCTGCCGCCGTAGGAAATATCTGTACATTATTTGACTCACGTAATTGTTTATTTGATATTTGTGTGAGTGGTGTCAATTATCGTGATTATTTTCGTAGTAAAGAGATGTCAATCTCTAACGGTTGTTTGTTATCCTTGGAAACCCATGGTTCTTGACTTTCCTTTTATAAGATCCTGATTAGGCTGGCAAGGGATTTATTTCACCAAGTCCAGGCCTTTACAAGTGGCGACCTTGCCAGGATTGTCTCTAACCTTGGTTTCTGAGGATTAACATTCGTTACCGGTGTTTGTTGTATGTCGCTATGTGCGCGCCGCTTGATATCTGAGGCCCGGAAGTAAGTGTTGTTTGGTGCTTATCCCTTCCTTCTGTTGTGCTAATTTTGTTGCTCTCCCTTGTGCTAGGGAAGTCAATTAGTGTTGGTTGGGGTGCACTGTGGATACGGCCATCGCATTTTGTTGTTGATTCACCTGGTGCTGTTCTTTTCCCCGAGGTGATTTAACTGGACTGGGTGCGAAACAAGGTTTCCTCCAGCAGGATCGAATCCTTTAATGGTTTGATTGAGCCACTAAGTAGTTACTTTTGGCTAGTTGTGGGGTAAGTTATTAATTTGTCACTTTGGCTTTTGGCCTTTTGTATCATTATGTCTAGTTTTGAGAATTTGAAAGGTCAAGCGGTGGCCCTGGGTCTGACAGTTGCGGAGGTTGGTCGGTACATGATCACCCAACAGACTGCCGAGAGAGAGAGCAAGAGAGAGGAACGCAACAGCGAGAGAGAGAGAGAGGAACGCAACAGCAAGAGAGAGTTCGAATTAGCTAAGTTGCAGGCAGAAAAGGACATAGAACTAGCTAGGATTAATGCTCAAAATAGACCAGAATACTCTGGGCCGATACAAGATAATGTTGTAAAACCTAGTGTGTCTGTTTATTGTGAAGGAGAAGACAGCCTCCTACCTTGTTAGGTTTGAACGGGTAGCTGAGCTGCTTGGTGTTGACAAAGATAGCTATGCTGTAAGATTGGGAAGCCTACTGAGTGGGAAACCGATACAGATTTATATGTCCTTGTCTGCCGACATCACTAGAGATTACTCTTTGTTGAAGTAAGCTCTCTTGCGAGGGTTTAACAAGACTTCTGATGGTTATCGTGTTGATTTCCGCAGAACAAAGATTAGAGCAGGGGAAACATACCAGCAATTTTCAATCCACCTGGGTCGTTTGTTTCAACAATGGCTAGAGGCGTCAGAGGTTGAGGAAACCTTTGTGTCTCACTAAGTTCATGATATTGGATCAGTGTTTGTCTTCTCTACCGCCAGACTTGAGAATATTCATCAAGGAACATAGGCCAGTGATGCTAGGAGAAGCTGTAGAACTTGCTGACAACTGGGCGTCCACTCGCAACGCCTACCCCAAGTCTCCCACTCCTCCAGTGAAGAACACGAAGCCTCCATCCTCCGAGGAACCATTCACAGGAGTAGAGAGTAGTTCACCGGTCGTGCAGTTCGACAACTGCAGAGAAGAAATCCCCGAGCCTTCAAATCTACCGACATTCATCAGCCCAGCTACAAGGTCGGATTCTGTTTGGAAGACAGGAGCTGTCCCCGTTATTGTGTCAGCGGAACAATAAATGGGTCTTGGGCATCTACTATCATCAGGGACACCGGTTGCTTGTGTATTATTGTCTCTGAGGAAGCCCTGCCTGAGGCTGACGTCTCCAGCTGCTCAAAGGTTAGTGTCGCCGATTACTTAGGTTGTGTTGACCAGTTCCCTGTTGTTAGGTGCTACGTACGTTGCCCCTATTTCATTGGTTGGTTTAATATGGTAATAACGCCCATTAAATTCGCTAGTGTTCTCATTAGTAATGTTCCCAGAGTTCGTGACCCTAACGGCCCGGAACCTTTAAAACTCTCCTCGCCACCAGCACAGGTCTCCTCGCCACCAGTCTCTTCGCCACCAAACCACGTCGCCTTGCCACCCTCACACGCCACCTCACCTCCAGCAAAGGTCCAAGCTGTGGAGACACGGTTGGCGAAGGTAAACGACTGCATCCCCAGGTTCTGCCGAAATTTCAGCCACTGACTGTGACGCCCAAGGTGTTCGCCAAGCTTCAAGCCTCGTGTACCACTCTGACGCTGGTGACGGAGAAGGTGACTTAAGGGGAGGAGGATCAGACTAGAGATGGGTCTGTTTACATGTTTGTTTGTATTAATAGTCTGTTACATAGGCCTTGTGTGTCATCCAAGCAACCAGCCAAAGTAGGTCGGTTTATACTGGTTGTCCCTGCTGATTGTCGTAGCAACATTCTCATTGTAGCTCACGAGAGCTCTCTAGCAGGACACTGTTCTTGTAGGAAGACTTAAATGAAGGTTGCTGATGAGTTTTACTGGCCAGGTATGGGAGCGGATATTAGAGCCTTTTGTAGGAGTTGTGATCAGTGCCAGCGTATGTCCGCCAAGGGTAGAGTCCGTCCTGTTCCACTTAAACCCTTAACCATCATTACAGAGCCATTTTTTCGGGTAGCCATATATTTTGTTGGACCGTTCTCGTCCCCTTCCTCTAAGAAGCCCAAATTATATCAAGCTAATTTGTTAAGGAAAATTTTAGATAATTATCATATTTACTTTTGAAAATTTATAAGAATTAACAAAAACGGATTTAATGCTACATTTGACGTCGGATCACCTGACGATTAGCCCCCTTACCCCCTAGGAACACTGTCATAGTCACGTTGACTGCTAGTCTGGTTTAATTACTGATTCTTATTATACTCCACGAACGCAAAACATGAGTGGGTTAGCTATCCCCTAGAAGAAGGGCGTTTTTCCCATTCAATGTTTACAGTCATGATCCCTCCCAGTAAGTCCCACCTTCGAACACAGTTGTCAATGTATTTATTCCACTTCTCCTAGCAAGCTCAATCTTGAATTAGTTTATGTAAATCAACTTTAGTAATTCGCCCGACCTTTGTCAACTGAGGGTCATCCTTGCATGTGTAACAGTTGGCTTGTATGTAATTTCTGTCATTGCGCGAGTAGCGATCACTGGCAACTCGGGGGTATATAACCAGTGCGAGGAGGACAGAGAGCCTTCCTCTCTCCTCATGTCAACTTTGTTTGTCTACAGGTGTGTAGCAGTGTTCCCAAGCCATTCAGTTTGATTCAGTCATTGTAGTGTATTATCAGTGTTCATGCTTTAACAGTGGAATTGTCATTCACCTAGTGTGAGAAGTAATGTAAAGTAGTAAATGTCGTCTGACGTTGTGAGATGAAGGATTTGTTTGTGTTGTCATCATGCTTCCCAGTCCCTTGACGTCGCCTCCCTCTCTCCTCACATCAACTTCGTTTGTCTACAGATCCAGGCTAGGCTTATTTGACATTCACCGATAGCCCCGGAGCCAGTAGATTCCCAGCAGGGAGCAATATATTGACGATGTCGTTGATTCGACATGATTGTAACGGCAGGTCCACCTCGTGGGCCGAGGGCCCCAGACCCGCCTCGTGTTGGAATGTAACCGACCACAACAGCAGTCGTCAGTTGTTAGAGGCGCCAGTGGTATACCCTGGGACATGCCTTGGAGTTATGGCCCACAGTGTGGTTGTATGTGTTTGTTAATAATTACTTTATGTTGGGTAGTGGACCCATGTATTTGTTGGTATCAGTATTAACGTATTGTGTGAGAGTGCATCTCCTATGCAATACCAACACTCTGAAGTATCTTCAGTAAGGTTGTCTTATAACTGGATGTAATGGAAAGTACCTCGTAATGTGTGAGAAGTAAAGTTGTCCACTTGGGTCTATGAATAAAGCCTGGTAACTGTATTGAAATGTACCACTAGAAGATGTGGGTGAAGTAAGTACCCACTGGGATTGGCAGTTGAGAGGAGCCAAGGAGTTGTCACCTAACTATGTATTGTGAGCAGGACCAAGGAACTGGTCCTGCTATGTAATGTAATAACACCAGTAAGGTTGTATGCAATAAGAAAATACTGAGTCTGCAATAAGCGAGGAGTTACACCTTGAAGTTATAGGTTGATAATATCTCTTTTTCCCTTTGATTTCATATTAATAAACCTGTTTTTAGAGTATTTTAGGAGTATTCATTTTCCCCACAGTATTTCACCGTTATTTCCGTCAAAGTGACTTGATATCAGAATTACAATACCCATGTGCCTTAGACCCTCGTCATGCTACCAAAAAAGAACTAAGGTTATGCAGTAACCATTGAAGTAAGTAGAAAGAACCATTGAATTAAAGAACTAAGACAAGAGAAGTAAGAGTAAAAGATAATGCAGAGTATGAGTAGAGAGAAACAGCCGCCGTTACAACACAACTCTTATATACCTTCCAAGAACTGTCCATAAGCTCGTTGTAATTTTCCCGGACAACCTTTTGGATACCTTCCTTCTCATAGCGTTCCTCACCCCAGTGCCCCCTCGTTCGTGCCACTTCAGGGGTAAGGTTAAAGAATAGCACTAGGTCAGGTTTGGGTAATCCAACATCACTCTTCTTGCACCAGTCTAAGGCCATTCCCTGAGAGAGACGGAAATGCAATCCTTTGTGTCGTGGATGATTTTTTTTTTTAGTAATGATTAAATTATTTTCAACGATTATTTATTAAACACTTCAAGGCTAACCTGATCTAACAATAATATTACCTATTAAAGTAAACTAGTATTAACCTGATCTTACCTAACCTAACATAACCTAGCACTAACTCAACCTACCCTAAAGTAGCGTACCTTAACCTAACCTAATGCAACCTAGCCTAACACTAGCCTAACTTAACCTAACACTAGCCTGACCTACCCTAACACTAACTCAACCTAACTTAACACTTCCTCAACCTTGTAATAGCACCTTTACATTATATAAAAATTCACCCAAATGTATGATACCTAAATGTATGATCCCAAATTATTCATTAAGTTATTCAACCAACCATCAGTTGTTGAAATTATACATGGCTGAGGTTGTAGTTTCTTCAGAGGGCGGGCAAGGTCAAGCTCATCCAACAGTTTATCAGACGTGTTTCCTCTCCCACATTCTCAGAGGGCAGGCGAGGCCAACCAAACCCCAACACCTCGCCCGCTCCCCATAACTCTCATGTCATAGACACAGGAGAGAGATCAGATTCTTATCATTAGTTAAGGGGAGAACACATAACTTAAGTGTTCCCATATAAGTGTACTTAAACCCTTTCCCCTCGAGAGAATTCACAATACATTCTCTCTCAAACTAAATAATGTGTATAATGTATACAGAATCTTCAATATTAAAGTGAGTCCAGAAGAACAAGTGTTTACAGTACATCAACCCTGCCACTTAAGAGTTCCAAAACTAATTTAAAACAATTGTGCATGATATAAAAACAGCTATGACAACCTAACCGAACACTATCTCAGCCTACCCTGCCTAACACTTAACCTAACCAAACATTATTCCAACCTACCTTAACCTAACTCAACCTAACCTAATGTAATGATTGTTTATCAGACCACAGCTTACGGCCCAGAGAATTACAACACATATAACATTAAGTATGGCCCCACGTGGTAACACATATACCAAGTTGACACACCCTGGGTCAGGACCCAAGGGACCTGACCCCGGCCACTAATTACTTGAGTTAGCGGGTTACTTGACCTACAACCACACCCTGATAGAGGTCATTTGCTGGCTGGTTCTCCTCCATATAAATGGCCTGCAGTCCCATCCACGGGGCTCATTTTCGTCTCATTCTTGGTGTTCATTCACCCATTGCTCCAGACTTCTCTGTCACATCACTATCGACAGAGTCACACCCGACCTCCCGTGTCACCAGCTAAGCAGAGTCTCCCATAGGAGACAGTCCAGAAGCACCAGCTGGGCCTCCCTCAGGTCACATGAGTCTTTCTCAGAGCTATCCATAGGGTGAGTTACTTACGGTGGGAAGTGTATTAATTTCTTGTTTGTGTCCGAGAGTCAGTATCTAGTAGGGAGTGACAGTTTGGCAAAAGTTTTCAAAATCTAATTGCTTGGGTTGGATTATTTGTCTATCGACCACGCTAATTCCGAATATGTTTGAGTTTTTTACATCATTGCATTAGAAGGTTTGTGGATACTTTTGGGTTTGGCATGAAAAACGCGAAAAAACTGTAAATAATAAAGGGACTGGCAATGTGGCACAACCTGTTAAAATCAAGTTATTGAATTGGATTATTCGACTACTGTGTACACTGGTTCATAATATGCTATTGTTTTACAACTCAATGCGCTACAAATTATGCCGATATTTTTGCTGCAAGTCACCACATACGTATATTTCGAAAACCAGGGCCCAATATTACCAACGGCGTGGATAGATTCCGTGGAATGAATTCAGGACATTCCCGCTCATGGAACATTACCAAACTCCGTATATGTGCCAATGGCAGGCCAATGGCAATATTTACAGAGTTTGTTGAGGCTCCCTGGACGGGAATGCCCTGAATTTATTCCACGGAATCTATTCACGCCGTTGGTAATATTCGTCCCAGGACTGATCAACGAATTCAGCCCAAGTAGCTTGACTTGGACAGTTAAGGACAAAATCTCAGTCCGTACTTTTGAATAAAATATTGTTCAATAGGTGGTGATATTGAAGTGCTGAAAGTTGTTTTTTCTGTGTTGTTTTGCAGTTAGTTCAAAGGGCCGCCACCAAGATGGGTCGTCCTAAGATTAGCAACACTCAGCTGCGCCAGGGTAACGATAAGGTGTTCGGGGTTCGGATGCCTCTGCCATCTAACAAGTTGCCTCTGAACAAGGAAGTTGGAAGTGCCCTGGCTTATGAAGCAGAAAACGAGAGGTTAAGGAGAAGAACAAATGCTTTTGATTATATGGATGCCACCAACAAGGTGACTGAGAAGGTACTGGATGTGTATAGGAAGGCCACTGTCCCCACTATCTCTGAAATCAGGGTGAAAATGAGAGTCCACGACCTGTGGAGGATGCGGAGGGAGACGATGATGATGAAGGGAAATGGACAGAAACAGAAAAGGAAGAAAACGAAGAACGGGAAGCTGAAGATGAGGTTCGAGGATATAGCTGAGAAGTTGTTTGATGTGGCAGACGACAGCAAAGTGCACGAACGAGAGAAAAGCTTCCTGGCAGCCCAGAGGAAACCGGGAAGGGAGGGCTGCATTGATGGCGTTGACAAAATTGTGACTGCCAAGCTGAAAGAAGAGAGGGAGAAGGAAGCGAAGAGGGCAAAGAAAAGGGCTGAGGAAGAGAGGAAAACTGAGAAGATGAGGTCAAAGAGTAAGGAGGAGATGGAGAGGATGTCGTGTAAAGTGTCGGCAGTGGATGACAGTGCTCAGGAAGAAGATAGTGATTATAAGGATGTCAATGACAATGAGTTCAAGGCTATGGTCGACAGGAGAGCAAGATCAGAGAAAAGGAAAAGGGAGAAAGAAGCCGAGGACAGGATCGGAGAAACTGCTGACAGGTTCAAGGTATCCAATGATGCAGTGGCTCACATCGCAAACACCATCAGAGCTGCAGACAACATCATAACTGAAGGGGACAAGTCTAAAGTGACTAACTGGAAGAAAGTGGAGAGAGTCAGGAAGAGGTCACGAGAACAGAAAAAAGAAAAGTTCAGGGGATTCAAGGTCAGAGGTCTCATGGTAGATGAGAGGATCAATGAGAACAAGATAGTGACTGGTGTAGGTGAGAAGAACCACAAGAGATTCGCCATGGAAAAGAGGGAAGACTGTGCAGTGATCGGATGTTCCATGAATGTCCTGAATTCATTCCACGGAATCTATCCACGCCGTTGGTAATATGTCCTGAATTCATTCCACGGAATCTATCCACGCCGTTGGTAATATTGGGCCCTGGTTTTCGAAATATACGTATGTGGTGACTTGCAGCAAAAATATCGGCATAATTTGTAGCGCATTGAGTTGTAAAACAATAGCATATTATGAACCAGTGTACACAGTAGTCGAATAATCCAATTCAATAACTTGATTTTAACAGGTTGTGCCACATTGCCAGTCCCTTTATTATTTACAGTTTTTTCGCGTTTTTCATGCCAAACCCAAAAGTATCCACAAACCTTCTAATGCAATGATGTAAAAAACTCAAACATATTCGGAATTAGCGTGGCCGATAGACAAATAATCCAACCCAAGCAATTAGATTTTGAAAACTTTTGCCAAACTGTCACTCCCTAGTGTCTAGTAACGTAAATATAATGTTGGAGTAATGTGTCCATGCCACAAAATGTGCTAGTAACTTCGATATAATAAAGTTCGATTAATGTGTCTGTGTTATTGAGTGGATTAATAAATAGTTGTATTGAGAGCTGGCATTTGAGAGATGTCCCCTAAGAATATAATATAAGTGAAAGTAACTAACTAGCCACGCTACCAAACTTCCTCTCTTTACATCCTACAACTAATTATTCTGTCTATACTTTCTACCTCTAAACCCCCCCATTACACTAACATAACCCACCCTACCCTACCATAACCTGATCTAACATAACTTAAGTACAGCACATCTCTCGTCGAACCTCACCTCCTTGGCGGCAGAATAGGCAACCCCAGAGAACGAGTAACGATCGATGATGATATTTATTCCTTCTTCTATCGTCGATGTTATTTGCGACAGTGATTCCCACCTGTAAGAATCAATGATATTAATTTCCAGAATTTTTAAAGACACTAAGCTAGGGTATTAATGCGGATGGTTGATGACGAGGTATATACAATGTTTATACTGTATATCTGTAATGTGTATGTACAATATATATACCTGGAGGTAACATCTTGCTTGAGACTCTCTTCAACTAAACGCATTTTTTCTGTGTTTCCAAGCAAATTATTGGTCATTTTGAAATTTATTTTACATATTGACAATATATAGCGCAGTGCAGTGTTATTTTAAAGAAAATATTCTTTATTTACAACAAGTTTAACTTTGAAAAACACGTGTTGACATTGTTTGAATCCAGCATGGGGCCTAAGAGATCAAGAAAAGCTATTTCAATCCAAACCAAGCAGGAAATCATAAAAAAACATGAACAAGGCATTAGAACAAATGCGCTATGCAAAGAATATGGCATGTCGGCATCAACTGTGTCGACAATTCTTGCACAGAAAGACAAATTCAAGGAAGTGAAAGTGAGAGACAAATCTACAAGAGTGTTTAAAAGTAGATCCCTAATCGCAGAAACTGAGAGGTTACTTATCATCTGGATTAGGGAAAAACAGATGAAAGGTGATTCAGTTTCTACTGAATTCATTTGTGAAAGAGCCAGGGAGATTTACGAACATTTAAAGGCAGATCAACCTGGTTCTTCAGGCACAGAATTTAAAGATTTTCGGGGCAGCAAAGGCTGGTTCGAAAAAATTTAGAAAAGAAGTGACATTTTCAGTGTTGTTAGGAATGGTGAAGCTGCTAGTGCTGATAAAGAAGGGGCAGCAAAGTTTTTAGATGAATTTAAAAAACTGATGGAAGAAGAAAATTATCTTCCACAGCAAGTGTTCAATGTGGACGAAACTGGGCTGTTCTGGAAAAAGAACATTCATCACCAGAGATGAAGCCTCTTTACCTGGGCATAAACCCATAAAAGACCGTCTCACTCTATTGCTTGGTGCCAATGCTTCAGGGGATTTCCGACTGAAGCATATGCTTGTCTACCACTCTGAAAACCCCAGGGTGTTCAAGCAGCAGAAAGTGGTAAGAACAAAGCTTGGAGTTTATTGGAAGTCCAACCGTAAGGCATGGGTGACAAGACAGCTCTTTAATGAATGGGCTGTTGATGTGTTTTGCCCTTCTGTCAAGAGCTACCTAACCACCAATAAACTCCCTTTAAAGGCTCTTCTCCTCATGGATAATGCTCCTCGTCATGACCCTGACCTTGCCAGAAATTTAGAGTATCAATTTGACTTTGTAAAAGTGTTGTTTTTGCCTCCAAACACTACATCAATCATACAGCCAATGGACCAGAATGTAATCAGCAACTTCAAGAAGTTGTACATGAAGAAAATGTTTAGGAGGTGTCATCAGGCAACTTCCAATGATCCTGAACTAACACTGAAACATTTCTGGAAGACACAATTCAACATCCTGGAGGCTGTAAAATTGATTGTGTCATCATGGCAAGAAGTCTCCACTAGATCCCTCAATTCTTCATGGAAAGCACTGTGGCCATCAGTAGTCCATGATTTTGAGGGATTTGAGGAAGAAACAGAGTTGGACCAGGAGATTGTGTCCACTGGTCAGTCATTGGGCCTTGAAGTGGAGGAGGAGGATGTGGAAGAGCTTGTGATGTCTCATGAGGAGGAACTTACTCCTGATGACTTGAAGCAACTGGATGAGATGTTACAGGTAGAGGCTGACAGTGGTGAGGAGGAAATTGAAAGTGATGACCATATGTCAGCTAAACAGTTAAAAGATGTGATTTACTACTGGGAGAAGTTCAGGGAACTGGCTTCAAAGCACCCAGAAGTGGAAAAAACTGAACTAACTTTGTGTCATGTTGAGGACTCAGTGGTCTCCTTCTTTAAACATAAGTTTATGGTGAGGAGGACATATGCCCCACAGACCACAATTGACACTTTCTTCAGTAAAAGGCAGAGGGAACAAGATGCTATCCCTCAGCCTTCCACTTCAAGAAAGAGAGAGGATGTTCATGGTAGAGAATCTGTCAGTCCAGAGGTTCCTGACATTTTCATGGAAGGTGACTCACCTTCCAAGAAGCAGTAAAATGCTTCTCCTCCACCTCCACTTCCTTCTCTTCTCCCTTCTCCTCCTCCACCTCCCACTTCAAATGCACATCATCATAATGATCCAGGAGCCCTCTACATACACACCTCAAAGTAAGTTAACTTTTCTACCATTTTTGTTGAATTTAGGCAATTTTCGGTGAGCTGGAACCAATTACCCAAAAACCCATTGAAACAATGGTTTCGGTTAACGAGCAACCTGCTGGAACGGATTGTGCTTGTTAACCGAGGGACCACTGTATATATATATATATATATATGTATATATATATATATATATATATATATATATATATATATATATATATATATATATATATATATATATATATATATATATATATATATATATATATATACACAGTTAACCCTCACTTTACGCGGTTAATGTAACCCGGAGGGTCCCGCGTAAAGTGAGAACGCGTAAAGTGAATAACATAACATATGGGATTAATTGAAATGGAGTCCGGGCCGATCCCCAAACTCCACTTTTTGACGACACACAACTATGTTGTAGTAAAAATTTTATCTTAACTTTATGATGGTATGAAAAAACAAGTAATATAGAAGAGGTTAGGTTAGGAAAAATAAAGGTTAACATAGGAAAAATAAAGGTTAGGTTAGAAAAACTAAAAGTTAGGTGGAACACTTACGGTAGTAGAAGAGATGGGTCGGCATACGGGGATGGAGGCTGGTTCCGAGGCAGAGGGCAGATTACTGGCCCTCAGGTGAATCACCATTACTAGGTGAATCACCATCACTGTCACTTACAGTTGTCAGGGCTTCCCTGACAAATCCCTCAAAGTCATCTTCACTGTCACTATCACTGGCTTGGGCTGGCTGTGGCGGGTTGCGGGCGAAGAACTCGGTTGTGCTTTTTTGACGGCTGGTGTTTATGTTGTCGTGATACACCGTGATGTACGGCTCCATAGCCTGCACCAGCCGGGTATGGAAAACTTCATAGCGGTCATTGTCGCAGGAAAGGAAGGACTTCATTTTCTCTGCACACTCCATGGCACCCTTAATATCACTATGACTTAAACTGTTTTCTTCGGAGAATGACGCACCTTCTTCCTCCTCTTCACTTACGTGATCTTCTTCCAACATCTCGTCGGCAGTCACTTCAGGATCTCTGATCACCTCCAGGATGTCGTCGTTGGTGGTCTCGGAGAAGCCTGGAACTGTAACAGTCTGCGCAGCTTCTCTGGCAAGGTCCACTGCTACTGCAACAGTCTGAACCTCACCAGTCACAGATTGACTCCTCCTCTCACCTGGTATTCCATGCAACACATGTCTCCATGCGTGACAAATTGTAGCAATAGACAGCTGATCCCATGACTCCACCAAGAAGTCCACAGCTTTCTTGATGTTAAATACTCTCCAGAATTGTTTGAACAGTATTTTTTGCTGTGCCAACTGTTGATCCTCATCTTCTTCGCTCTTGCTATCGGTGGTGGTGTCACTCAGGTTACGCAACTCTTCCATGGTGTTGGTGTAGTCGTTCAGGAGCTGGAATTTTTTTGATGAGAATGCAGCTTTTACATTACAGATTAACTTTTGGTCCATGGGCTGTAATATAGACGTAGTGTTGGGAGGAAGGAAGACCACTTTTACGTTCGGGTGACGATCTAACAGTAGGGGCGAGTGTCCTGGTGCGTTGTCCAGCAGCAACAAAATATTGAATGGCACATTCTGTCGCTCACAGAATTTCTTTGCATCGGGAACAAAACAGTCATCAAACCAGGAGAGGGACAGTGTAGAGAACATCCACGCCTTACGTGCGGTCAGCCAATGGACATTTAGCTTGGTTATGTCCATGGTTTTGTAGGCGTGCGGCTTGCGTGCTGTGTGGATCACCGATAACTTGAGCTTACAGGTACCAGAGGCATTGGTGGTAAACAGGACGGTGATGCGTTCCTTCTGCATCTTCCGGCCCCGAATCCTGCTGGCATTCTTTACAACGAAGGACTTGGAAGGTAGCTTTTTCCAGAAAAGACCAGATTCGTCCATGTTAAACACCTGGTCGTCACTGTACTGTCTTTCCTCCATAATCTCACATAAAAACGGAGGAAATTTCCTAGCCGCAGCACGGTCAGCACTCGCTTCTTCACCACCAATGTTTATATTGGTGATCTTGTTCCGGATCTTAAACCTCTGTAACCACCCAGAGGAAGCATTAAAGGGTTTGGGCTCTGTAATTCCCATCTTTCGTGCCACTGCGATGTACAGTACAGTTCACGTGCGTACTCCTTAACAGAGCGAGTGTCGACCGCCATGTTCCGTCGCGCCTGACGCACCAAGTACCTCACAAGTAATTTTTCTGTCTTGAGAAGCACCTGGTTGTGAAAATACTTGATCATAGAAGCACCTGTAGACTTTGTGATCTTCATGTGCTCCTTTATCTTGGCTGCATCCTTCTTTATTGTTCGAATCGTAGATTCATTCACACCATGCTGGCGCACCAAATCAACCTGCCTTGTTCCTTTCTCCAACTCTTGGATGATGGTATACTTCACCTCGTAGCTTAAGGAACGTCGTGTCTTCTTTGGCTTAGTGCCGCTGGGTCCAGGTAAGGAAAGGTTTCTCTCTGGGGGTGGTGGTCCGGCGGAAGCCATTTTATGGAACAATGGATGCGCGTTTACACGGTGTGGCCTTGAGGGATGAAACTGCCGCGGCTAGGTCAAGCGTCGTCTTTCCTCCCTCCCTCCCTCCCCCGGGTGGACACGTCATAATACTTTAAGCCAATTACTGCTAGCAGCAGAGGGGGGTAGTGATGCATGGCCAATCACAGGTCTGATACGTCATATGACGTCAGTGATAACACAACAAAGACACACACTGCGCAACCTTACCGCGCCGCTTGCCCAAGCGGAGGGAGGAGGGAGAGGCG